AAGCAGAACAACTCAGGACCAGGTTCTCCACTACCCAGCAATGTGAACAGCCCAGTACAACAACATATGGTTGTGTTTTGCAATATTTCTGTGCTTTGCTGTCATTTGTAGGCACGATTGCTTAGATGCAGGGCAGTGGAGAGACCAGGCATGTAAAACTGAGGCCGCAGTGGACAGATTTGCATGCAATGTCACAGGTCTCCAGCTTCAGAGAGCACATTTCACACAAAGATGAAAACCTTTCTACAGACAGGGCACAGGCTGAATTGTATTTAACTCGGAAATGAAGCTCCCCCGAAGGACAGTAATAAACCGATTAAAAATAACTAAAAAGAAGATCCATTAGGGAAGGTTGAAAGAACTGAATCTCCTCAGATTAGAAAAAGATTAAGTGAAGACAAACAATGCCTACAAATATTTAAACACTAGGTTATAAACTGCTCAGAGATTAATTTTCCTCCTTAGTCAACAAGAAAATACAAAATAATGGACTGCAGCAGAGACTGATTACAAAATACCAAATGATTCAGTTTGCAACATTTGGGTTTTCATCTGCTGCTGGAAGTTTCCAAGACAGATGGGTCTTCAGAAATGGGCCTTGGTGCCTGCACCAGGAGAGCTGCTAATGCTGGCTGACCACACATTAAGGAGAGTTTTGAGAATAACAACCTCAAACCCTTCTGTAACGCACAGGAAAAGTTATAATGTGATAAATCACAAGAGGTGCTTATCTACTCAGTGGTTCTGTGCACTGACTGCCCATGAGACAAAGCTGCCTGGCATGGGACAAAATAAACTTGCAAGACTGAGGCAGTACAGGAGATGTGTTTCTGCAAACACTTAATGCTCCCTTCAACAACAAAGATCAATTCTTCAGTGAAGAGTCAACAAGGCTGTTTTGCACTGATTTTCATCCTGTCCAATATAGTTATTTCACATTAAAAATTTGTCTCTTTTTAAGTAATTATCCTGCCTTCCATGATAGCAGCATCAAACTGTTTTCCCTAACGTTTTTCTTTTCAATTTCAAAAGAAACCAACCTACTCACAAGTCTTATCTTCTAAGAAAGAGAGAGAGGAGATTGGAAAATGTATTGATCTTATTGATGCCAAGTCCTTCTAGGGAATTAAAGTTTATTGCTTTCCTGTCTCTATCTTTTTGTGAGGATGTGGATCACAGGCTGGGAAATAACACTCCATGAGAGAGGAGACAGGCTTCCCCACACAGCTGGAAAGCCTGCACTGGGAAACATGAAGAAGGAAGCAGGAAACTAAAGTTAAAATTTGAACAGCTATTAAGTGGATTAGGAATCATGGGCTTGTGGAAGGTCACGCAGCTTTCTTTCAAACATGCAGCTTTAACCTTGCAAACTGTGGCACAGGACAGATGTTGGTTTCATCAATAAATAAAATGGTATTTTTTAGGGCAGCATGCTGAAATGTGCTAAGCTCCCTCTGTTCTCACTGAGAGGAATGCAGAGATCTTTCAAAAGTTGGGTTGGTTTTATTCTTGGCTTTTTTTTAGATAAGAAGACATAATTGAGAAGCACTTATAGAAAAGTTCCAAGCAAGGGAATTGCTCCATCATCTCAACGTTTCCAGCCAAGTAATTCAGCCCAGAGATTTATCTGTTGTTCTGCTCAGTTTTAGGTCAGGCACACATTTTCAGATTTGAGAAGGGAGCAAAGAAAACTCTCTGCATCCACATGTATGTCCTTGGAAGACTAATCTCAACAGATACCAAGGCCCTGATTAGGCATTTGTAAATCCTCATGTTGTACTATGACTGCATGTGAGAAATCTCAACAGCATGATCAGGATTTTGCAAAATGCAAAGTGAGATCCTGACCTTTTGAAATTAATGAGAATTTTGCCATTGACCCCAGCAGGACCCCAGATTCAAAACTTGTTATCTACCCTGAATTGCAAAGGAACTAACAACTTGGTAGTCTGCTTGATCTTTGGATGCTCAGCACTTTTAAATATTAGCCCATTAGCTCACATTTTTAAGTTTAATAAATTACCTCTGAAAATCATCAAATTTTTGTCTGCAAAACTGCCCGATTTGCAGCCAAAATTTTCTTACACTGTTTTTTAATCTGTACTTTCAGTGTAAAATGGACAACAAACTCTTTATTTCTAATTTAAATAACTATGCAGATTTACTTCCTTATAAAGAAAAAAATAATCTTTGTGACCTCACTGTGGCTTCAGAGCTGAGAAGAGAATAGCCTCCTATCTCTGCACCCTGTGGAGATGCAACTCCCAATGGGCTGTCTATGACAAGTCCTCTCTTCCTCAGCCAAAAAGGCAAAGACCAGGAAATAAAGTTATGTATGAGTCAGACTGCAGTAAGGAAACAGTGGCTCACAGTAAGTTTAAGATAGATATTTGTACTCTACCTCACTTACTAAAATTCTTCCTTCAGCAACTGAAATGTTGCATCTTTTCTATTCTTTACTCTCCACAGTACTCATCCTTTTGATCTGGCTAAATTAAGCTGGAATGCCCTTGCCATGGACTCTAAATCTAACTGTATGGTGGGAAATTACATGAAATGACAGCGTGAGCATTTAGAGACTGTTTCTATGTATAAATATTAAATCAAAAGTGTTTCTCCTAGGTGTGCCCTGCAGTAGGTGCCCAAGCAGCACCTGCCCCCAGCATGGCACAGACCCCTCTGCAGAAGGAAACACCTCAGACATCTCCCTTACCACATGGCAAACACTGATCAGAGCTGGATCCTGTCTGCTTTGTCAATGTAGCACAGAGGAAAAAGTCATATGGGACAATAGTATTCTTAAGATTGTTTCCAGCAGCTTAACCAAGAATATCTGCCAGCTCAGGTGTTCAGGTGTTTACTCAAACTTTGTATTTCGTGGTCTTTAAACATAGGTGATACTTTTTTTTCTTTGTGAAATAAATTTCCTTCTCCTCCTCAATTGCTGACATTTTTTTCTGCAGTGCTAACTCTTATCTTTTGTAGTCTTGTCTAGGAATAACTGGGAACTGATGATAAATATTTCTGCTCTTCCCAAAGCAAGCATTCTAACAATGCCATAATCTAAAAGGCTCACTATATGCATGCCCCTAAAAATAATGACCATCAGTCTGTATTAATTTAAGATCTAAGTTCAGCATTCTGTCTCTAAAGAAAAAAGAAGAATAGCTTAGGAAATCAGTGAAAAAAATAAAGCTGGCTGAATACCAAACAAAAGCTGATAACTAAAACCCAGTTTGCTGCAGGGACACCATAAAAATCAGACTGTCTGCCGCAGTCATGGTGGAAAATCTTTTGGAAGTGAGTGTATGCTTTTGGCTCCAGTTATTACATAACTGATAATGAGTTAAACATGATTCATATCAAGTCATGAAAATTAGACACGAGTAAAGGGTGGGAATTGGAAGGGTCTCTCTTAGGACATGTCTTTGGAGAAAATGATGATAACTTGTGGAGAGGTTTCTGCATGGTATACAGGGCCAAAGCAATTCTCATTTCTTCTTCTGATATCATTTACTCTTCCATTTCCCCTGTAAATAAATCCTCTCAATCACACACAGCATGGAGAAATATGAGCTAAATGTGCTAAAAGGACAGGTATCTTATATATAGCCATAGTTGGACTGTGGAGCACTTTTACCCAGTTTCTCTTCTGACTTTAACTTATGCACTTCATTATTTTAATATTTTATACCCTCTTTTCTAGTAATGGCAATTTTTTTTTCCCTGGTACCCAGACTCACCTTGTAGTTTGATCTCTGCCCTTTATCTCAGGCATTAAAAGGAAGCTGTAGTCACTCTTCTAAGTTTAATAAGATAAAGAGATAACTTCTAGCTGTTCCACACAGAGACCATCCTTTGCAGATAAGCTAAATCTTCAAAGGGAAATCTTGCAAACTCTAAATCACTTGTGGGTAGAAGGCAGCTTCAGGCTCATGTTTAAGAGAGAAGCTTGTTGACCAACAGTGCAATCTGCCTCAGTCCAGATTATCCTTTTGTGTGCTTTGAACCCTCTGGAGTCAAACTGCATCGTGAATTTTAACACATCCTACCATCTGGAGAACCAGGTTGCCGTGACATGCCAGACTTACAAGTTGGTGAAAGTCTGGGTTAGTCTTGTACAGACAGGCCTGAGCTGTGTGTGAATGAAAGTCCCAGCTCATAACATACTGCTGCAAAAGCTGATGGCCAGAGCTGCATCCAGAAACACATTTATCTAGGATTTACTGCTGAAAGCTAAACCTGATATTAACTCCTATGGTATTATAGTATAGCAATGAATTTTCCAATACATTAGGAATTAAAAGGTACAAACTAAAGCTGCTGAAATGGCCAAAATTAGGCTACAGGAGAAGATGAGACTCTGTTTATGCTAATAATATCATATATTGGCTAATATAATATTTTTATATGGTCATATATATATATATATATATCAGATCATCTTATATTGATAATATCATGTTTTGGCTAAACTTGAAAGCACGATTGATACCAGTATCAGAGCTAATAGCATTAGAATAAATTCTTCTATGACAAAAGTCATAATGAAGAGTACTGCTAGAATTTGTGAGGCCTTTCTTATAAAACCTACGAGCTGATCAGTGTAGTGCCTTTGCAACATGAATGTCACAGGTAGAGCATGTGGCTGTCTGTCACAAATTCTTCTACATCAGTAATCTGGAGATGTATGAGATGTTTCACTCCTGCAGAGAGGGTCTTTCAATGACCTTCTGCTCAACCAAGGAACATTGCAAACCTTCAAATCAATAAGCCATCTGCCATCCTTCAAAATTAAAACATCAATGGAAAGTCAACATTTACATTTGATTTCATTGCACCACATAACCCCTCCATTATACCTGACAGTAAGCTGAGTTAATTCAAGCTCCATGCTAGCAACCATGCCTTCACTCTAGAGAGCAAGCAAGAAAGCTAAAGCCCCCAAGTTTCAACAGAGCACGAGCAGGACTCTCAGCCCGTCATTTTCGGATACGTACCCAGTACAGCACATCCGTCCAGCCCTCCATGGTGATGCACTGAAACACCGTGAGCATGGCAAAAGCAAAATTGTCAAAGTTGGTGATGCCGTGCTTAGGTCCCTCCCAGCCCGCCTTGCACTCGGTGCCGTTCTGACACTGCCGCCCGTGGGCAGACTGGGGGGCACACGGAGACGGGTCGTCCTCCGCAGGTGTATCTTGAAGGAGAGAAGGGGGAGAAAAAAAAACAAACAGCTGAAGGAAACCGTTTGACACACTGATAAGCAAGTGAAGGATATCAGCTTTTAGCAAATGTATTTTGCAGCGAGTTTGGCAGATTTTTCAGGAATACACAGGCAACCGCTCGCTGTCGCGCTTCACTTTCTTTTCGCAAAAAATAATGGCCAAGCTGTCAAATTTTGTAGTCAAAACTGAGATGAACTTTTTTTTTCCGCCAAAGCACACCCTCCTGTGAGGGAGAACTCATGCCTTTCAGCATGACAGGGAACATTAGATGGAGCCCATCCCGTTTAATGAGGCCGAGTGTCATGGCCAGCGGTTTCCTACCGCGGTCACCCGGCGTAGGGGTTAATCCTGGAGGATGGCACCGCTGAAGGAGGCTGAGCCCTGCAGCAGACAGGCTTCAGAGCTCTGCAGACAGGCTGGTGTGGCACTGGGCCACTGCTGAATTACAGCCCAGAGCGCCTGAGCTCTGCTCTTTTGGCATTTAGATGATGTGTGGCATTTTATCCGTAGGCCAGTGGCACTCGAACTCTGAGATTGCTGCTTGATTATGCACCCCTTGTTCTGTACAGGTGTTTTCAAAGACCTGACAACCCCTACAACAAAGCAAACTAAATGCTTTGGTATATAAGGAATGCTCCAGAAAACGTTTTTATAAACACTAAAACTTCTGCTATGTGATTTTATTTTATTTTTTTTGGTAATATACAGATTTCAGATCTTAGTGCTACATTTTTAACAGATGCAGGTATGTATGTATGTGTAGGAGAGCAGGAAATTATGTTTATTTCTCATCTTATTATATGGTAAACAATGTAATTTTCCAAAATTATGATCACATTCTGGTCACGAAAGAATGCCAGAAACAGTAATATCAGAATAAATGCTGTAATGTAAATACTTCCAGACAGAATGGAGAAAAATACACCCACTTTAAAGATGCAAACCAGAGTGACAGTTCATTATGGTTCTAGCATCATTCCCAGAAAATGAAATCTGCCAACATTAGAAAAGCAGAAAATGAAGAACTTCTGAGACAATTTTCTGCTGCACACTGTTTTCTTATGAGCTGAACTGGGTACTAGGCATTAATACCCTCTACCACATGAGAAATAGCTGCTGTTCAAGATCAATAAATCAAACAAAAATGAACAGATGGTTAGATGAATGACAGTGCAATTGAATTAGTTTGAAATGTGACTATTTCTTTCTGCAAATAATTTGAAATAAATAAATTTCCTGATGGATTTGATGTAAAAAAGTTTCTTCCCGTTAATGTAATTTTGTTTTCTTTCTGGTTGCACTTCTAACCGAAGCTGCAGCCTGTGACTAAAAACAAAGATATACTATATATTATATATAGTATATATATAATATATAGTATATATATTATATATGCCCTGAATTATATATTCCTTTACAATGATACTGGTTTAAATAAAAATGCATTTGTGCATGAGGTTAATAATTAAATATATGAGTTGTTCATTCCTGTAATACCATCTCCTGTGTAGCTCAATCTGCAGCGGTGAAATTGTGAAACCCCTAAGATGTACACACGAAATGAGCAACAACCACCCATCTCCTGTGCCAGAAATGCTCTATTACACGTGGGAAAAGCCTCCCTCTGAAAATCTTTGTGTGTTTGTGTGTGTTCCCCTTACCTATCAGTCCCCCTTGCACATGGTAGCAGGTCTTATGCATCTTCCCCATGAATAACTCCAGTCCAATGATGGCATAGATAATAATGACAAACAGCACCAGCAGGGCAATATGCAACAAAGGGACCATGGCCTTGATAATTGAATTTAAAACCACCTGGAGACCTGCAGAGAGAACAGAAGGAAGCGCTTGTCAGCAGGAGAACAAAATTCAGACAGGCTATAAATTGTACAGTAGTGTTTCAGGTTTTTTTTTTGCTCCCCCTCACCTGAACTCGTTATTTTGATGATGCAAAGACATACATTTACAGATGATCTCCCTCCAGAAGATCCCAAGCATTTCCAAAAATTTACCACCACTTCCCAGATCACAGACCAAAGTGAAACAGGTATTGCCTTACCTGTTACCCAAACACCCCCATCCTGAGGAGGGAATATATATATATTTATATATCAGCTGGCTTGCCTGTTCTTGACAATCAGGCCTAAGGTGTTGCACACATGGTATTGAGAGTTAAAGCACAGGAAAAACAAAGAACAGCCAGGCCTGAAGAGGACAAGAGCCATGATCTACATGAGAGGGCAAATGCTGGGGTGCAAAGAGCTGCACTCTGGAGCCTGGGGAGAGGTGGAAAACTGAAGTCATGCTCCTACTCTGGTGCTGGGTGCTTCCAGAAGTCAAGCCAGTTCCAGGCAGAGCCCAAGAACCACCAGACCAATACTGAGTGAGAGTTCCCAGCCTTCTTAGGATCTTCCCATGTTCCACTTCCACCTCATCCAACTTCAGTCTCAACAGAGGGAGTGACAGAACCAGCAATGCTGGTTTTGTCCCAAGATTTATGGAACACCTTTTAACAGAAGATGCCCAGAAATGGATATTAGCAAAATATTATTACATGATCATTAAGGTATGAGACTCTTGAAAGTCCTAATCATGAGCAAGCCAAACATTCCCAGAACGGCCCAGGGAAGGTGACTTGTAGCCAAGTTTTCTAAATCACTAAGCAGCTGTACCCTCAGATGCACTTGACTCAAGCTGCAGATTCATGTGCCTCCCTCTGTCTCCTTCCCTTCATTTTGTAAAACCAGAATAATAAAGCCAGCCTCATAAGGATTTGCATTTACAAAGATCTTAAAGTTATCACTTTGAGTAGGAATAATGGCAATCACTGTCACTGGCAAGTTATTAATGATGGAACTATTGAGAGGCTTCTAGAAATCTATAGTCTACAAATAGCCAGATCAGAACAATTACAAGCTCATGATTTTGCAATGACTGAGAGCCAGAAGTCATTAATGTCTCCTGTAAATGCTGTCATCTCCTCAGAGAAGTTGGTATTAGCTGTGATTTTTGAGAAATGTGATTCATGAGTTGTAAATGTCTGTTATACATCTGCCAAGAGAGCTTGTGATAACTAATAATTTTTAAAATCTATCATCTAAGATCTTAGACTTTTTTTTTTTAAATTTTTTTTTTTAACTGATTTAAATACTTTCTAATGAGGATGACACATCTCTTGACAAGCACTTTCCCTTGTAGGCAATCCACTTGTCAGCTCTCAGCTAAGGCTGAGACTGCCATTGCTCCAGAGTCCTGATGGAACTCAGCAGAAGCAACCAAACGTGGCATCAGCTGCCTGGCCAGCAGCATCCCTCAGTGCCTGCTAGCAAGCACTGGCTGGATTCTAACATCCCTCAGATGTCAGAACACTTTTCCAGGTGTCTCCAGGCGGTTCAGTTATCTGCTATCAGTTATCTATCCAAAGGATATGCTGCTTTCTAAAGGCAGCATGAAACATCCTGACTTTCACAGAGACTCTTACACGAACTACATTACTGACAGCATCAAAACATCCTGCACAAGAATGGGCCACTCTGCTTGCTCAGTTGCCTCTGGGTGCTCTTCTTGATAAGCAGTATCTCTGGGGGAAAAAAAAAAGTATTTCTGTGCTTACATGAGGCAGTCAACCTTTTTCCTCTAAAATGCCTACATCTTTCAGTCTACTAATTCTAAATATGCACAGAAAATGAAGTGCAGAGAACACCAGCACTGCTCCAGTTCTTTACATCGGTCAGGAATGCTACATTCCCCAGAAAATTAAAACAATGTCTCACCTTCTCCCAAACAAGGTACAACAGTACCAGAACGTTTAAAGACTACAGATGGCTGCAAACCTGGAAAAAAAACCACCCCACAAACTTTGCAGATTGAAATATTTGTTGCTTCAAGTAAATTTTTACAAAAGCAAATAAAGGCCTCCCTTTTCAGTGAGTTCAGGAGTCTTGTTAATCCAAAATGTAGCCAAGCTTATGAGGTTAAAAGTTCCAATACCAGTTTTTATGTAATTTACTTTTAATTATTATTATTAATTAATTTTAGCATTCATTAAAGGCTATACCCAGTACTCTTGAGAAGGTACTGAGGACAGACAAAAAGACAAACAAAAAAGCTCTCTCATTTTAAAACCAGCTTCATTAACACCCACACCATGAAAGTGCTTCAGCCTACTGCAGATGTCCAGAGAAGAGAATATCTGCACAAAGCAACGCCCTTTGTGTTAACGAAGTGGTGTTTGTGAAAAAGAAGGTTTGCACCATGAACTTGAGATGATGTTTAGATGGTCGAGGGGAACATGTACCATCAGAAGATGCACAGGACCTTCAGCCAGCTTAATTAGAGAAAAGCTTCTTGAGGATAATAAGCCAGCTTTGAAGAGGACATGAGGTACTGAATGTTTTTAGCATGAATTGATGTGTGTGCAGTGCAGTTTCCCTTTAGGGCAGCCTGTTTTTAAATCCAGATGATTCCAGTAATTAGCAAACTTAAATACGTTACCATCAAAGTATTCAGAGAGTTTCTGAAAGTTAAAAACCCACTGACTATGTGGCAGCTTTACAAATGCCCTCAGGAGATGTAGTGGATGCTGCTTGCAGAAAGGCAAGGGATCCATGCACATCACCAGGCTCCCCACATTGCTGCCAAGATTATTGCTGTAACACAGCTGCTGCCTGCAAATTGCTTTATTCTCTCAGGCAGCCACTTGCAGCACAAAGAGCTGCTGCAAGGAATGGCACGAGGAACAGTGCCCAGACCCTCGGAAAACTCATTGTACTGGCAAGGGGGAGAATGGGGAGAGAGGATCAGGAGGGATTGAAGGATGGGGGAAGAGCCATGGGTACGTGGAATGGAGTCACTTTCTTAATAAAAGCCTCACACGCTTCAAAACACATCAAATCTGCATTCTGAAAGCCCAGAGGTGCAGCTGCATTCCTGATCAGAGTAAATCAAGGCGAGCCACCCCCTTATAAGCAGTCACAAAGATTTTTCTCACCAGTGGTGAGAATCCTGCACGCTTTTGTGGGCTCTTTCCCTGTGCAGGGGAAGAAAAGAGAGTTCAGCTCATAAAAGAATGATTTCTCTGTCCCAGCTCACGTATGCTCTCAATCTTTGCATGGTGCAATACACAGGCATCAGCTCACACAGGTGTTCACACCACTGAATATCTTTGGCATTTTTTTTCTCCCTTGTGCAGGTAAGGCTTGCACTCCCAGCAATGAGCTGTGCAGCTGATAATCATAATTAAATCAGAGTGCCTGGTGACCTGATCAGACTGCAGAGCTGGCCTCTGGATTTAAAGGAGGTGATGCCAATAACTGCTTTCTACAGCAGAGCCAAGTTTTTACAGCGCTGTTTGCAGAGGCTGGCAATGTCAGCACTGGCCAACCATAAACACAGGGTCTTGAGCTTAAGTTCTGAGAAGTAAATATAAAAACAAATGGGTTTAAAATATTTGGCATTCTAAATCTGCATATTTGTGGGCTAGACTCTCTCCAGACATCTGTTAAGGTGCAGCATCTGCCTTGAGGAGCTCAGTGCAGGCTGGACACAGAGAATTGCACAGGGATTAGGGAAAGTGCAACAAGAGGGATTGTTTGCACTCTTTCAGCCCACACTTTTCATCTGTTAATAATTGAAGATCTTAAACAACTCCTAGTATTTATTTTAAAAGCCCTTCAGTTTACCTTTAAAAAAATCCTCTTGGCTGTGTTCTGCTGGCTGACACTGATTCCATAAATGTTTCAGCAAGCAAAACACCACGTTAATGCCATTCCCTGGGCTCACAGAATTTAGCATTTATTTACACTGATAAAACGTTTTAAATATTTATTACATGGGAAAAACATCACTTTTTATACCAGGTCAAGCCCTTTTTAGCCTCTAGAGGACTGCATTAACCCAAAAGTTTAGAATACAAGTGGGAAGAAGAGGGACTACAGAAGAATGGAGGGAAAAAGCTTATACCAAGTAACATTGATCTTTCTGAAAGCTATGGGAAATGGACTTTTAGAGCTGCTGCAGGTGTTTTAGAGCTGTTATTTGATGCTGTGTTTTCCTCTCAGGAAGATGATGAGAGGGGCTGGTCGCTGTCTCATCGATTCAGGCCGTTATTGAATAATGTTCTTTATCTTTGAGCATGTAAGTGTCCGCACCTAAAGCAATGGGATTACCTACATATCCCCTTGTGTACTTACAAGGCTTTTTGGATTTCAACCAATGTTTAGCAAGATGGCACACGAAAAAGATCCAGCTGCTAAAATGCACTTGGCATTGTTGCATTGTGGAACATATCCAAAGAAATTATTGGTAGGTTTGCTAATACAGAATTCCTCTCAAGAAAGACATGCCTATAAAAAGTAAGACAGTTCTTAAAAACACTCAATTTGCCTTTTTTTTTTTTTTGCAAGATTGAACTTTCAGACCTGAAAAATCTTCTGAGGAACATTCCTCCAGTTTTTTTTCTCAAAATGGTAATATCTCTTCTTTGTTGCACTGTGGTGTTCATAAATCCCCAATTAATTAATACATGAGTGCTAATTACCTCACATTTCCCTCCCCTTTTCCTTTAGGTTTCCCGCCTTTTTTCCCCCCTCACGTTTCCCACCATTTTTTTCCCCCTCACGTTTCCCGCCATTTTTCCCCCCCTCACGCTTCCTGCCATTTTTTCCTTCTCTCTCTTTTTTCCCCTTTTCCCCTCCATTTAAATACTTCAAATGTTGGAAAAAGGAGGATTTCCTCTGAATTTAAACCCTTAAAACCAAGGGAAAACACAGATTACCTCAGAATTTAAGCCTTAAAATGATGAAAATGGGGGGATTTTCCCTTG